ACTAGTTCAGATGGTGCTTTCCCTGTTGGCTTCTTTCATCCGTGCTTACGTTTGTCGGGAAGATTTTATTACACATGTGACCATGTTTTGTTGTCACCTCAGTTAATATCATATTGCCTGTTCCTTATGAGCTCAACTCCACAAGATGAGGTGACCTCACAGTAAAAGCATGTAAGTGAGAAACTACCATGACCATAAATGACTGCTGTATGCAGTAAAGACTCTCACACTAAGCTGAAATCAGACTAATGAAAAATAAATATTAATAAAAGTAGTTAAATAGGAAATACATATTTAAATTTTTTATTAGACCCCTTGTCATGATGTAATTTTTGTCGTCTGCTTGCAGAGTGAAATAAAGCCTCTTGATTTATTAATGAAATCTGGAATCGGCATATTTTAGAAATCTATATACTGTTATCATTTATCTAGTTTACTATTCATATTTTGTTCCTTCCTCCATGTTTTTGTTTAATATTTTAAACTCCCCTGTGTCCTTTTCTGTGTGTGTGGTCTGTGAGATCTAGTTGCCCATTGACATTTTGGTTTAATTGTGGGGGTTGTTTTGTTAACAATTATTGCTGTTTATATTATGCACACCTGTATTTTAAGCCTTTTAGTTCGTGTTCTCCTTACTGTTTTATGAAGTCTATTATTTGTACTTTGTTTCCTCAGTTTTCTTTTTGTTCAGCGAGTCTGTGTCTGTGTATAAAAGTTGTTCTTTGAGTTAGATTCAAGTTTACTTTGGTAGTTAGTTGTTTCCTGTGTTGAGTTTACTTCCTCCCCTCCCTCACTGTCTTGATTGTCTACAGCTATGTCTAGTTTGGTCCCCTCTATATTCTTGCTCTTTGGACTTTGTGTCAGATTTAGTCTTGTCTTTCTTAAATATTGTTTAGGTTGCTGGGATATTTGAATTGCTTTGCTAATGAATTTTGTCACCCACTATTTGGTTTTCTTTCTTTTCATTTGGATTTTCTGAAACCCAGCGTTGTGCCTGCAGTTTATTACAATAATAACCAGCACTTATTCAAATGCTGGTTATGTAAGTCTAAATGTAAGTCTTTTTTTTATTATGTAAAAAAATGCAATGTAATGTACACGATGAACAGACTCCGCAATTGTTCATCTATTAATACTTATATGTTATTTCTAAGGCAGTAAATACAGTTTATTCAAAATCCTGAGTCATTTATGTAGTTGCTGTAGCTTGCTGTTTTACTGGATGGAATAACTGGCATTTGTCCTCATGAAAAGGAACCATAAATAATTTCTGCGTGCAGTGTTGATTAGTAGAATCACTTCAGGGCAGTCTGGAGACCAGTTGGTGGTAAATTATTTAATAGAGGGCTCTGTATTTTACAAGCAGTCATGATTCAGTTCAGCAAGGTGTCCAGAAAGGGTTTGGGGCTAGGACAAATATATGGCAGACCCCCCTGCTGTCTCCCAAATTTTAACTTTCTTCTCCTGCCAGTGAGTCTGCCCCAAACTTCCAACACTTAAACATTTGGTAGGGAAAAAATACCTCATCTGATTCCGTTCTGCAAAGACTTTACCTACAAGAAATATGAAAAAAATCCCATTTCCTGGCAGACTGCAGCATATGGAATAGGAGCCAGGAAAGCTGCTTTTGATTCATGCTAAATTGCACTCTCAACACAGAACAGTATTCCTGTCAGTTTTTCATCCTTTTCACTTTGCCCCTACTTTACATTCGCACATACAGAACATATACACACCCGCCCACTCTACTTTCAAAAAATGTGGAACCAACCGGCATTGACACACATTGCATTTACAGAAACACCTTCATTTCATCTTTAAATTCAGAGTTCATCATCTATTTTTAGATGCTTTTTACCCATTGCCTGCACTGGCCCACCCTATTAGGTCATAAATCCTGTCTCAAGATGCAGTCACAGTTCCTGCTTTTGTTGTGGAATTGCATTCAGAGTCACCGTGTGGATGTATAATTTTGATTTTAGCAGTTCCCTATGATCGCAGTCAACATCCTTTATTATATTATAACTATCTCAAAGTTCGTCTTTAACTCTGAATGTTGTTTGTTCTTTAAGAGGGATTAAAACATTTTAGTAAAAATAAAAGCAGTAGAATTTCTTTTTAACATCTGTAGTTTAGTATAAGCTTGTTTGAGATAAATATGTGACAATAATCAGCTGCAAGGAATAACGTTTTAAGTTTTAATGTGTGTTTGATAATAGTTCCTTTATTACGCAGTTAGGACTTTGATCGTTTGACCATTTGTTCACATGAGAACTTCAGGTTTGTTATCCTGGAAAACCTCACTTGAAGAATGACTTTTGCAGAGTTACTTTCCCCTCTTAATGGTTTTTTAACGGCAAATTTCTGTATGGACCATTTCAGGTAGTTCATCTGACGCATGCTTCATAATGTCGAATTGTGGGAAGTTGGAGGAGTTTTCTGCAGATCATTCACACCAACCAATCATAACTGTCATCCAAGGAATGCTCTTTATTCCTTTTTACCTTCAGCTATTTTCATCAGCTCGGCTACAGGGGCCCATTTGTATTCACAAGTACTCCTGAGACAAAATGTTAAATTGATCCACTCTGTTTTCTTTGCGTTTGGTGGTTTATTGATGCTTAAATCGTCACTTATTTAAGAGCAGGTTTTGAATATCAAGCACATACTTTAGTTTTTTTTAACAAACTCACTTAAAATGGAGGAACTTTTAAAAATGCATATCCTTCTATGAAGTGTAACTATCATGTTTATAAGTCCCAGGGATGTGGCACATTTAATGCACTGTTTTTGTACTGTATGATCATGAGATTTTAATAATATAAGCATCAAATTGACCAAATACTCAGCTACAATATAATTAACAGTTTTTGCCTAAAGTATCATTTTAATTTACTTTCTTTTTGGTGTTTT